TGAATTGATTTGAGTCTGATCAGCTTTTCTCAATTTCTGCTGCAACCTAAGATAGATAGAATCTGATTAGGTTATTAGAGCCTCTTCATTCGATAGTAGGAGATTGGCTATACGAGAGTTAGCCAGTTTACTACTTTGTACTGGTGTTCTTGGCGCCAGTAGTGGAGTTCTGTGTTCATAGCCTCAGCTTTCTATCCCGGTGAAGACTAGTCGTCTGCCGGGTGGTTAGCCTGAGAGGGCTTGGTCAGCTTAAGAGATTCCAAGCTACTGTCGGATCTTCCGCAGTCTAATCAACAGTAAATCAACCCAGGGAATTGCAATTGAACCTAACTAAGGGGCTAGGGGGACTCAATCCCGAGTGACTCTTGCCTGCTTTAGAAACCGAACAATTTACTGCTTTCTTGTTGCTTTTACTTTTCACAACAATCACTCGAACTAGTTTGCTAGATAATAGAGAATCACGGAGTAAGCAGTAGATCTAGACCCCGGGTTGATAATTAAACTTGCCTGTTACTGCATTCCCGGACTGCGATTACACTTGGTCGCAGTTTGGTGTTGTGTTTTGGCGTGTCAGTGAGCTACTATACTAAGATCATGTGAATTTATAAGTTATTTTTCTGGTGGTTACGTGAAGAGTAAGTTCTTAATCACTTCCTTACACTTTCTCAATCTTTTCAAATATTTCAAGAACTAGGAGCTACTATGCTATGACCATGTGAACTTAATTATAACTCATTTTTCTTGTGGCTACGTTCAAGTTTTTAATCATTCGAATTAAAGTACAAAAGTATTGTGAAATGTTGTTGGATTCATCATTGAATACTAGCTGTTAATTTTGCTTGCACCATGCTTAGGCAATTAGTTAGGGACAAGACAAGGCCTCAACGCTAGTCTTATGCTAGTCATTCATCATTTGATATGTATGTAAAAAAAGGTTAAATGTGATTCCTCCTTCCTCGCTGCTTCTTTTCTCCGCTTCCATACATATGCGATCTTCCTCTTCAACTTGCCCCCACCATTACATCCAAATTCCAAAACCCCATGATCGCGATGGACAGATATATATATATATATATATATATATAGGTCGAATACCTTTTCTGTTTTGTTTGATTTCGAAAGAGTGCATGGCTGCAGATAGAGCATTTCTGCTGGATAAGATACTATGCAATCGTCGAGCAGGGACCGATCTTGCACTGCAAAACTTAGATTCCCATATATCGTCGAAGGGTCTTTTTCCCAAAATGCAAGATTAATTAAAAAAAAATTTCAAACTACAACACTTATATAAATATTTCCCAAAATACATAAGCTTTACGCGGTTCGAGTCAAAAAAACTCGATCCACTGAAGGGTTCGAGTCAGTAATCATCGATCCAGTGAAGGGTCGCAATAGATCGAGGAAGAGAAACTCGATCTCCGCCGTTCGATCTTCTTTGCCTCGAACCACCCCCTAAACCCTATTTTCGTCGGCCAATGTTATGGGGAATCATCAAAAACGTTTCCATTAATTACCCTATTTAATTCGAACGGATGATAGGGCATTGAAGGTGGATTAACGTGTTAATTATTGCCCAACGTTTACCTATTTATTACTTAGATTTTTCATTTCATTTTGAAAATAAAAGCATCCTTTCTTAACAAAAAAAGGAAGGTTTTTTAATCCGGTGCATTATGCTACGCGAAATTAATACACATTTTCATTACAAAAAGGGATGTTTTTTGTAATAAAAAAAACTGTTTTTTATGATAAAAGGAAGGTTTTTTTTATGATAAAAAGGAAGGGTTTTTTTTATGATAAAAAGGAAGAGTTTTGAACGTTGGATTATAGGGTGAGAAAAAGGAAGGGTTCTTGCTAAGAAAGGACGTTTATTTTCAAAACAGAATAAAAAAGGAAAAACATTAAATATAAATGGTAATATTTATGTAAGATAATTAATGGAACGTTTATGGTAATTCCCACGATTTCGGCGGGCGAAAAATCTTCTTTTGGCATAGATCGAGTCCATCACCCTCGATCTACGCGGATCGTGGCACTGAAGCTCGATCCTTATCGTCAGATCTCCGCCAATCGAGTGGATTTACTACGATGCTCGTGGATCGAGGCTCTGTCACTCGAACCTCTCTGTAGATCGAGGTTGTCCGACTCGAACCACGTAAAACTTTGGTATTTTGGGAAATATTTGTACAAGTGTTGTAGATTGGGAATTGTTTTTAATAACTCGTGCATTTTTGGATTTTTTCCTTCGTCGAAGCCATATGTATTACGTACTCTCTGGTCGGGCGCGAATCAAAATAGTAGGCCGGCCTCGAAGGCAAAATGTGAAGCAAAAGGGCCACAACCGCGCGCACGAAGGCTGCATTTCTAGCTGTCGGTGCAGCTGGAATAAACACAGGAGAGGGACATGCAAGCTACGTATGCATTAATTGTTTGTTGATGATGAGCTAAGCCAGCCATATATGGCAGGAAAAAATTCGTCTCGATCGAGCGAGCTGGATAGCTTCTTCACTTTATATTTCTCCAGCACACAGACAGGTCAATATTGCATGGCTCCAAGTGATCGTATATGGAATTTTGCAGGAGAGAGGAAAGCAAAGCTAGGTCCACTCCTTTCTTTTTCCCTTTGGGATTCCACATATGCAGTATGTTATAAACGCGCTGCTACGGATCGGGAAATCGTCGGAATTGATAAAGTAAGAATACGAAAGCGAGAATCGAAAAAAACACAGACACGCGATTTACGTGGTTCACTAACACGATGTGTGTTAGCTAGTCCACGAGCGAGAAAGAGTCAGTTTCACTATATCGAGGAGATTACAGGTTACAGAGGAGTATGAGAAGTATTTATAGTACTTCTCCATATTGTGGGTCTAAACCTAATCCGATCTGGCAAAGGAAACGGTTATAATAGTACTTCTCCATATTATCGTAACGCGGCTGATAGTCCGATTCAAATCACATCAACACAGTATTATAATACACACGTACGTGTGAGTTATAATTATCAAGATCGTTCACGAGAACTCTAGAAGTATGTATTTACGTATGGTTGCCTTCTTTCTTTCATTCATCGATTCTCTCTGTGTCTTACACAGAGAGAATATGTAGGTACGTATTCATTCGATTTCCCACTATACATAGAGGAATAGTGGACATATATTATTCATCATCGCGAAGGATCGGCCGTAGCTTTCAGAACTCTGAGATTTCGCCACGTACGATATATTCGGAAATGACAAACCTACATGCGTACGATTATTTATTCTTACTGTTTTGAATTCTTTTTCCTTCAAATGGACGCATGCATGCCGAAGTGTAGTCGTGAGTTTAGTACGTCAACCGGAGGCCAAGGGCCAGATTAATCCATTCGTTCTAGCTAGGTTCTGCTACTTGAACTGCCACGAAATTATGCGGCAGTAGAATGGGTTAGGTGCAGCCAAAAAATGTACAATTAGTGTATATGAGACCCCATTTACTTTTTGCGAGATATATCTATCTAGATTATAAATTAAATCGAGTTTGAAGTATTGCTATTATATACCCTCAAATGAGAAAGCTCAAATCTCAATTCTTTTTTTTTTTTTTTGACAAAAAATCTCAATTCTTCAATGGGCAAAATGCATCAGTTAGTCCTTGTATCCTTTTTGCTCTGTCCATTACGGAAAAAACCTTGATGAATGCAAGGGATACAGTAGTACATTAATATACAAAAAAATCGAGATGGCCGGTAATACAACGCATGGTCTTCCAAACGTGAAATAAGTGTTAGAAGTGCGCTTAGTCGATTTAATATAGATAAACCTAGCAAACAGAATCAAAGCTAGTTTGGAATCGATATTTGGGATATTACCGAATACTTTATCAAATTTATTATTATATGGTATTACCTAAAATCGAGTTATTTCTGGGATTAAGATTGATTTCAGAGTACTTACAAAAATAAAATAAAAAGATTAATTTCAGAGTGTTATTCAGTATTTGAGATTACAGGATTGAGATTGGTGTATACAAAAAAAAAATATACATAAAGAGTACCATAACCTCTAGTCCTTTGTCATTATTTGATAACTCGCAAGCCCTCATGCATCCAACCAAGCTTGGCTTTCGAGTTTTCCTAGGTCGCTCTCGTCTTTCATTCAACCTCTTGTTATTTTCATAATACAAAAAAGTAGACATTCTCATTCTTCGTCTCTCAACCTCCAATCCATCGAATCAAAGATTACACATCTGATAAAAAATTGAGATATCATCATCGATCTCTTCCCTTATCTATTTGTCCTTGCCTTATCTCTATGCAAACACAAAACCAATTACCAAGGCTCCTAACCCCAAAACCTGTGTTGAATCCATTCAATGTAGACTTAGATTTAAATTCCCATCACAAGGATTTTCAATAATCTTGAAATTAAAGCTCCATAGCATACACTCATATAATATATTAGAGATTAGGGATGATCGAACCATTATTAATTTATTTATATTATTATTAATTATATATGTAGGTCATTACTTTGGTCTTCTGGAATATCAATACCATATCAACATATTTCATATTGAAGACCATGCGCGCGCTGTCCCTTAGGCTTAACTAGCAAGTTGCAGCTACTGGAATCTCATGAAGACCACTCAAACAATATATTCAATGGACAACCAAAGAATGTATAAAAAACTCTCATCAAACTTTATTATATTACATCAGCATTAGTAGATGTATATAGAGATATTACAAAAGTAGCTAGTAGGGAGATTCATTATCATTAGGCGTTACATTATATAAAGTATTGCAAAGCCTAATACACGAAATCCCGATACATACATACATAAGTATATTCCCTCCGCTATGCTTAGCCAAAATACAGAGGTTTTTAATCGTCATCATCATCATGCATTATGGCGATGACTAATCAGAATATCAGATCCAAGAAGAAGAAAAGACTCCATTGTGCATATTGTAAAATGTTAACCAAAATTTTGGACCCATCTCATCATCGATATGACAATCAGAGCCAAAGCGCACCAGCTCGTTTGAGCATGCCAGACAAGGAACCATTGAGATGGAGGGTCATGATCTCATTGGCGCCACCAACAAGGTTCCCGCCGATGAACACCACAGGAAAATCATTGGCAGCACCGTGTCGAGCCAGTGCGTGCTCGATCTCCCTGCCACCGGGGATCTGGTCGAGCTCGTAGACAGTGGGGTTGACCCCGAAATCGCGGAACAAGGTTTTGATGGTGTGGCACATGCAGCAAGTGCTCTTGCTGAACACCACCACCGGCCTCTCCGCCGCCAATTGGAAAACTCGATCCATATATTTCTGTTTATTTGAGTTGCGTACGTAGGCAATGAAGAGTAGGCAATGGAACAGTGAATGTAATAGTGGACTTGTGTGGATGGGCTGAATGGTTTGTGTGGAAACGGGGTGGGGAATTGGAGGTATATATAGGGAAAGGGAAATATATACGCTTAACCAATTAAGAAGAGAATAAAAGGTTGAAGAAAAGTTGGATACAATTTGGGTTGGGATTGGACTATTGGAAGTGGGATAAAATGATTCTCGAGGAGTACGGCCGGCCGGTGGAAAAAAGGCATAATTATATGATTGCCTTGAGATAACAAACAGTAAGATTTGGTGCAATGAATTATTGGTGGGTGTTTCATTTAGCAATTTGGCTAGGAATCTTGTAAAGTGGGACGTGGCGTTAGGGCACTGTTTTTTTTTTTTTTTTTTTTTTGCATGTTGTAACGTAAGGTTTCACAATTACCACGAGATTCAAAACTATTGGAGAGAATTTGTATGGACAAAAAAGGCGCTTATATAGCTTCATTGTCATGGGTGCTAGGCAATTTGACTATGATATTTACCACTCTCTCTTGATTTTTTTAATAGCTCAACAGCTATATATGTCAGCTATTAAACTATGATCTTACCAACTTATTATAAGTTAATTTTCTTATTGTTATGTGTTGAATAAGTTGTTAATTATTCGACCCAAAATACAAAAGTGTTGTAAACGGCTGTTACATTAATCATTTGCTACACAAGCTGCTATTTTTGCATCGCGCCGTCTAAGCACGTTTAGGTGATGTTAGGCGCTAGATAAAGCACATCACTAGGATTATTCTAGGGTACTACGGTATATATGTAAAAATGTTAAATAATGTGATTCCTCCTCCACTCTTCCTTGTTGCTGTCAATTAGTCTCAACAAAATGTTAAATAATGTGATTCCTCCTCCACTCTTCCTTGTTGCTGTCAATTAGTCTCAATAACTCGAGTTGTTGGGAGAAGGTTATGTTGAATCTTATACAGACCTGTGTAATGGTGCTTAACCACTTCCTTACACACACCCTCAAACGAAAGCCGACTCATGGGCTTGTAGTTTGCACAGCCCCGCCATATCATGTGCTTGAAAGACAACGATTAATATTGGAGGCCGTGAGGACTTGAACACGCGACCTCAATGATAAACCAACTTTGATACCATGTCAAAAACGCCAGTTAGTCCTAATAACACGAGTTGTTAGGAGAAGGTTATGTTGGATCTTATACAGGCCGGTGTAATGCTGCTTAACCACTTCCTTACAACTGCATCTTTTCTCCACTTCCATATATGATGTTCCTCTGTCAATTTGCCCCACCATTACATTCAAATTCCAAAACCCAGTGATCATATGATGGACATCTTTTACTGTTTTGTTTGGTTCTGACTTCTGAAAGCTTGCTTGGCAGAGCATTTCTTTCTGGATAAGTCGAGATATGATACAATCTCTCTCGGGACCGATTCTCTGCACTGCAAAAATAAGATTCCCATATATCGTCGAACCCATATGTGTGCATTACTCTAGTCTCGATCTGGTCGGGCGCGAATAAAAGTAGTAGGCCTGGAGGGCAAAATGCAAAGCAGCAATTTGCAGCAGCTATGGCTGAATATAGAATAAACAGATAGATAGAGAGACATGCAGCAACGTATGCAATATCAATATGCATGGACCATATCCACTGTCTGCTTCGTGATGAGCTAAGAGCCTAAGACTTAAGGGTAAGCCTTAGATCAAATGTTTCATTTTTCATCACCGTAACTTGTAGACCACACTCTACTATACTTTAAAGTATTGGTGCTTCAAAGTACAACTTGAAGTTGTATCATAACGTTAAAAGTACAAATTGAAATTGTACCATAAGGAAATTTGACATTTATGTTGTGGTACAATATTAAATTGTAAATTTGTAACATAACATAAAGGTACAACTAGTTTGTACCATAAAGAGATTTTATAAAGCTGTATAGGTACAACCTAAAGTTGTACCACAATGTTTAAAGCACCAATGCTTCAAAGCATTGTAAAATTCCTCAACTTGGTGAAGTGTACTTCGAGTACTCCAATTGGGATTTATATTTATCTTGAGAATGAATTAAATCGAGTTTGGACTATGCATTATATAAAACCTAACCTCTAATCACTACAAAAAAGATGAGGTTTGGGGACGACAAAAGTCGCCCCTGAAAATAGGGAAAATCGTCCCTATAGTTTTTGGGGACGACTAAGTCGTCTCCAATGTGTGGTTCCCTACACTCTTGTCCTCTATTCCTTTGGGGACGATAAAATTTAGGTCGTCCCCATTACTAGGGACGACAATCGTCCCCAATACTCGCAAGTCGTCGTTTAATTTTTATTCCATAAAAGACAACATATCGTCCCTATAACCAGAACTTTAACAACAATAAGTCGTCCCCTAAACAATATTTTTAGGGACACAATGTTGTCCCCTATAATCCATTTCAAGATTGCGTTGTGGATATATGAGATACTAAATCGTCCCCTTTTCTATTTATAGGGTCGGCATATGTATCAAATTGGAGTCTACAAATTGTCTCTAAAAGTTTATTCAATTACAACAAGCCGTCCCTTATACTATATATGTGGAGATGACAAACTGTCACCATTGTGATTTTTAGGGACAAACAATTGTCTCTAAAGTTGTGGCTTGGGGATTGATAAATTGCGAATATTAGGGACAATTTGACAAATGAAAATTAATTGGTAATTTTGTGGTAGGATTGAACGATAATTGCTCTGTACATTGATATGATATGAAGTATAGACCAACTGAACAAGATTGGCCAAATTGGAGATAAAATTGATTGGCTAACAGATCTATTATAATAATAAACATACAGTCGAATTGTTCCTGCAATAAACAATAGACAAGAAACACAAATACACAAAAATCATCACCATAGACATCTTTCCGCTCCGTTGTCTCAGCTAAGCAAATCCACCATATGTAGCCATGTAGGCACCTCATGTAATCAAGTACCACTGCATCGTAACATCACCCAGACAATATCTTCACCACCAACTTTATCGTCATCGTCGAATCTAGGAGATACATCATCGGAAACCATGTCGATGAAGGATCGATCTAAAACTAATGTTGCCAAGACAAAAAGAAGATTAGTAAAAATAAGGAACTAATCTAAATCCTACCATTGTTGGGCGTCCTTTGCTAGAGCGGAGAAAGGAGCTGCTGGCACCGATAGCTAGGGAGAGAGATGCCAATCCAAAAACGCAATCACCACGGGGTGGAATAAGAAAAGGAATAAAGGCCACTCGGCGGAGAGAAGATTATAAAGGTTGAACTAGGGTTTTTGTTATTATTTAAAGTTATATGGACGATTGAGATTTGATCAATATAAATAAACGGCTGATGATAACTATTAACCCCTATTTTATTTGTTTACGGGATGGATTCAAATTCTTTGGTTTAAATTTGACTAAGACTAATATATATACCTTTTTAAACTACAAGTTTAGGGTATTACTTTTGTTTCGCTCCATTATGCAAGGTAAGGGATTGAACGACTTAATAGATAATAGTTCACTTGTGAAAGACATATGTTCTCCCTCTAATCCATTACCATTTCATAATAGTATTGTGGTTATTTGAGGAAAATATCTTGATTCTTTTTTATTGGGTCAGCATGTCGTTCTTATAGGTTTCAACTTCGAGTCAAACATATCGTTCTCAAAAATTTTATTTAAAAACAACTAGTGGTCTCATATAATATAATCTTAGGTACAACAAGTTGTCACTAATTCCAAATGATAAATAAATTATATTGGTCTCCATATATAAATTCAAGAGGGGGGGGGGGGTGGAATTTTAGAGGATACTAATGATTAATTGAACGGTGAATCTAACATTATTCAAAGAGAACTCAATCTATGCTGTAAGGATATACAAATTAAACATGTCTCATAACATTAAAAGTACAAGTTCAATTTATATCATAAATTTATTTTTATCTTTATGTTATTGTACCAAGCTCATTTTGTACTATAATATCAATATAAAAATTCAGTTAGTACCTATAAAAGAATTAAAAAAATATAAGCACAAATTAAAGTTGTATCCCAACTTCAGCAAACTTATGAGCCCAATAAGAGTAAAGGTATTTTGGTATTTGGATGACATGGGCATTTGGAAAATTTTAATTCAAGGTGGTTGTGCAATGTGCATCAGTCATAATCGGACATTTTTCTTTTAGTTTTAGGCCCATCATGTGCAGAAGTCTCCAGGGACGATTTTGAGATGGCTCGTATTCAACAAATTTTTATTTGGGGACGAATTTGACATAGGCGTCCCCTATTTAACTAGAGTTATATTTCCGGAGACGAATAAAAAGAATTGTCCCTTATGGTAGTCCCTATAGTTCATTAATTTTGTAGTGAATGGATTAAGCTCACATCCCGATTTCTAAATCCAAACTCAAAGCTCAATTTAATAAATAATAATATTCTGCGATCTGATTCACCAAAGTACATCAAACAATCAGATCACTCGGATTATATATAGTATACTCCAGGAGTAGGCTATACAGAAACGAAAGAAAGGTCGGTTAGTTAGTCCTTGTTTTCTTTATGCTTTGCAATTATGAAAAAATATTTTATGAAGAGGATTAGTTACATTTATATATAAAAATCGAAATCTAGTGATACAACACATGGTCTTCTAGAAATGGAATAATTATTAAAAGTGCGTTCAATCGATTCAATATCGATCAATCTAGAGTTAAAGGGTGGAACGAGTATATATATATAACAAGAATTCTTGGTTGGTAAAGATAGTGTTGGAGCTGGTATCGATATATGGGATATCCAGAATACCACACCACTAAATTCACTAGAATTTGATATTAGTGAAAACTGAGTTTTTTTTAATTAGGATTGATTTCAGAGTGTTATTAAATATTTGAGATGATGAGATCGAGATTGGCATATACAATAATACAAAAAATACAAAAAATTACAATTATTTAAATATAGTTCACAACATCTAGTCCTTCTTCACATATTTTTAACTAGCAAACCCCATGTATCCAACCCAAGCATGACTTTCGAGTGTTCCTACGTCTATAGTTATTTTCATAACACCAAAAAAACAAAAACTCTCATTAGCCATCTCTCAACCTCCAATTCATCAAATAAAAAATTACATAGGACAAAAACTTGAAATATTTTCTCCTCCCTTTTCCTTAATCCTACTTTACCTCTAGGCAAACTCAATACCCATCACCAAGTCTCTTAAGCCCGAAATGGAGAATTTGTGATGATCACTAAAGAGGACGTAGATTAGTTTTTATTAGATTTTTCTCAACTTAAACTTCGATCACCAAGATTTTAAATCGTGAAATAATCAAACCTGCAAAGCATACACCATATAAAAAAATATTTGTTATATTTTTTATAACGGATGTAAAAAGAACTCTCATCAAACTTTTATTATACATCAGCAGTAGTAGCATATGTATATAGAGATGTTACAAAAAGTATTGAGATTCATCGTTAGGCATTACATCATAAAGTAGCGCAAAGCCTAATTAGTGAAATCCTGATACATACATAAGTACACATTTTAGTTCCCTCTGCCGATTAGCCAAAAACAGAGGTTTTATCAGTATCATCTTCATTATAACGATGACTAATTAAGAAGAAGAAGTAGAAAAAGAAAAGACTCCATTGTGTATTATAGTAAAGTTAGCCAAAATTTCGACCCATGTGATGTGATGATCGACTTGATCAGAGCCACAGAGCGCCAGCACGTTTGAGCATGGCAGACAAGGAACCATTGAGATGAAGGGTCATGATCTCATTGGCGCCGCCGACAAGGTTGCCGCCGATGAAAACAACAGGAAAGTCACCGGCAACACCGTGTCGAGCCAGTGCCTGCTCGATCTCACGGCCACCGGGGATGTGGTCGAGCTCGTAGACGGTGGGGTTGACGCCAAAGTCGAAGAACAAGGTGTTGATGGTGTGGCACATGCAGCACGTGCTCTTGCTGAACACCACCACCGGCCTCTCCGCCGCCAGTTGGAAAACTCGATCCATTTCTTTCTGGCCTTAATGGGTTGCAAAGGATGAACAGTAGGCAATGGAACAGTGGAGCTATATATAGGCAAAGGGAAAGTATATATGCAATACGCTTAACCAAGAAGAGAAAAGTTGGATTGATTTGGGTTTGGATTTGAGGGATGGAAGGGGATAATATGATTCTCGAGGAGTACGGCCGGCCGGTGGAAAAAGGCGGATATGTGATTTGGTGCAATGAATTAGTGTTTCATTTAATGCTTTAGCAATTTGGCTGGGAATCTCGTAAAGTGGGACGTGGCGTTAGCGACATGGCGCGTTGACTAACGGTCAACGCGTTTGACAGTCCAAGTTAACGGTCAAAAGTCGGATCTGGCCAAATTGTTTATTTTTTGTGTATAGTTCGGGCCAGAATGTTATAGATCAAAAAGATTGGTCAGGATGTTTATTTTGGTCAAAGTTCAGGCCATACGAAAATATTAACCCTACTTTTTTATATAAACTCATTTTCCCCTGTTAGTAGATGTAAAATGTTCTCTATTTTCTTTACTTTCATATATTTTCGTAGTACTTTACAGTTTAGGGCGAAAGAACGAGTAGATGAACTTCAATTTTTGGTTTAGTTAATTAACTGCTTCATGGTAACACTAAGATGAGATTATTACCCCAAATTGTGTCAATGGGTTGACGTCTCAAACTGCATATATGGCCGCAATGCCCCACCATTTTCCCTACTGAATAGACTATCGACTGGGGAGTACTCAAATAAGAACTAAAGCATCTCATTGTCGATTCTAATAGGACGATATTTACCTGCAACCCAGTTTGCAGGCGGAGTATAGGTGGAGGTACACTATTGGTTGAGTTCTTTTCTTCTTCTTTTTTTGTTTGCAATTAAATGTTAACGGAAGCAGATTTCTTTTTTGTTTACCTACAATGTTCTCATTAGTTTCGTAAAATGAATTTTAATGAAATGCGATTCCTTTTTTTTAACTTAATTTTATTAGTAGACATGATTTACATAATTATGTAACAAATATATCATGTAAAACTTACTAAGAGATAACTATTTTTATGTATCAATTAAACGTAACATATTATGCAAGTTTTTCCCGATGATGATGAGATTCTACACAAAACTTATTGAGGGATAGCGATTTCTTATGTATCAATTAAATATACATAATACAAAACTTTATGTAATATAAGTTGAATGAAATTAAAATTTCTAAATTTTAACAAAATTGTTGACCATCTCATCAATTGCCACTACACAAATTTTTCCTAAGGTCAATTAGTTTTGCATAACAATATCATCAAATATGATACTTTTCTTAACATAATTAACTTACTATTAAATAAAATTCCTTTATTGTTACCTACAATATTCACATCACATCAATTTGCATTACATAATGGTTCCACTAATTAAGTTAATTTTACATAATAGTTCAATAGACTTATCACTTAATTTTATTATTATAGCACATATTATGATAGAGTTACACAATACTGTTATATAACAATTACGTAAATTACAACTACCTTACATAGAACCTATAAGCGGATAATTACTTTACGTATCAACTAACAAACTTATTGCATAAGTATTCCGTAACAATTAAGATACTACGTAAACCTTATGAAAGAATTGTAAGATTTGTGAATTATTTGATTTCAATTAAATCATTAATTGAGTAGATAAAACTTCAAACGTAGTTAAATTATTAACGCAACGAAGCGCGGGCTAGAAAACTAGTTGGAGATAATTTGTATGGACAAAGCTTTGGGCAAAAACGTATTCGTAGCGTCTAGGGATGGCAACTTTGCCCATACCTATGGGTTTCTTACTATCCAACCCAATTGGGTTGGGTATAAAATCCAAATAGATGGAAATGGGTAGAGTTTGATGGGTTTGTACCCATACCCATTTACTTTGGGTTGAGTTGGGTTGTCGAAAGTATTGAGCCAATTTATATTCTTATTAAGGCAAAATACACTTGTATAGCCATAACTTTCACACTTTTGACAAATATAGCCATTTCTATTAGAAAACCACAAATAGCCAATTCCGTCCATTTTGGTAACGGTGTTAGTAGACGTTATGACTGTACTAACGGCTTGCGCTGAGTTGGCCACTGAGTTACCCCACCTTCCGACGTGGAAATCAGACGTGGAAATGAAAAAAAAAAGTTTTAACGAAAAAGAATAAATTAACACAAAATCCCCAATATAACCACATGAAATCCCTAAAATATATTTTCTCCATTGTTGTTCTCCGAAGCTTCCCTAAAATCTATCCCTAGAAATCAACGCTTCAATCGACACCCTCTCTGCTGGCTGGATCCCTCGAGGCTGAGAAGCACCTCAAGCCGCCGCCGCAACCCAAAATCAAACTCTTCCCAAAATCAAACTCCACCCGAACTTCTCAATGCTCTCCTCTCTCCCTTTCTCGCTCAGCCTTCCCCCATTTATTCAAGATTTTGTCACTAACCCTACCCTGAATCGGAGAGATCTAGAAATCTGTAAAAAATTTGTAGATTTTGGCCGCCGGAGGTGGTGGTGGTGGGGTAGTCGCTGCCGGTCGCCGCCCATCTCTCCTACTTCTATTCCATTCACGATGTCGGCGCGCGATATGGGGAAATGAAGTTGTTTGGGTCTTCAGGTTTTCGATAGGGGGGAATGAAGCAGCAAGGCAGCGATATGAGCTTGTTGCGGCTATCCTTTCGTCGTTGTCGTCGCCGCTTCTTTAGATCCGCCGGCTGGAAGGCTCTGTTCGTTGCAAAACCAGAAGGCGGGTTGAGTAGACGCGACGACTGTGGATGACTGGGCGCGATGCAGCAGCGAGGCGACGGGTTGCCGGTCGTCGAGGTGATGGCGGCGGAGGATCTATACAGAACAACGTCGATTCAGATCTGCCGGCTCCGGCTCCCCTAGTCGTGAGATGGAAAAGGAAAGTGACGATATTGAAGTGGTGGGATTTGCGATCTGGAAATTTGTAAGAGATCAATGATTTTGTAACAAGGGAGAAGACGAGTGTATGATTTTGCTCTATGTCTTGTTGCGATTTGAAATTTTGGGAAGGAAGATGCGAATGGGAAATCTAAGAAGTCAGGGGATGGTTTGGTTGCATTTGGGGAAGAAAATGGTTTTTGCGGAAAAGGGAAGAACATGATTTCTAAATTAGTTATTTAATTTATTAAATAATTTATTTTTAAATTAAAATATGACATGGCACTTACGTGGCAAGTATGGTTGAGTTGTCGATGATGTGTGCGATGATTTGGCATCCTAGTCAGCCTAACGTTAACCTAACTAACAAAGTTTGTAACACCGTTAAAGTTTCTAACGGAAATGGCTAGATTTGTCACACGACCATCCATTTTCTTGGCTATTTCGTGTTTTCGAATAGATGTGGCTATATTTGTCAAAAACGTGAAAGTTATGGCTATACAAGTGTATTTTGCCTCTTATTGATATAGTAAACTCAGTTGGTTACGCCTGTGGGACCACAATAGTATATTGTTAAAACTTGCTTGAAAAGGCGCTTAGCTTCAGTGTCGTGGGTGTTAGGCAACGTAAAAACGCCTTGATTAAGAGATTCACGATGGGTTAGGTATCCAAAACACAATGATAGAGTAAAGGCGACACCTCACATAATTAGACGAATCTAAGTAGTCAAATCAAAATGGAGAAATTCACATAATCTACAACAAATCTAATTGGTCTTGTGTTATTGAAAGAGGTCCATCTATGGATCTTAATCACTTCTTAAGGAACCCTCTCACACAAAAACCAACACACCAACTTGAAGTTTACACAGACTACACATACCATATGCTTGAATAAACTTCTAATACACTACGAGAAAAATGCCTTCTTGCAACGCTTGGATCGCAACACTATTTGAAAGTGTTGCATAAGATCTACAATGACAACACTTTTTTCTAGTGTTGCGTATTGAGTAGTTTATGCAACACAAATTAGTTACGTGTTGCATTTGTCCTATTATTTGCAATTGATATATCACAAATGATTTATAGGTTGCCTAATGATATAGTTTATGCAACATTTTATCATATTATGTTGCAAAAAACATCAATATTGCCATTCCTTGTGTTTATGCAAAGGACTAATTTGAATTAAAAAATAAGGCATTATAGATACAGAAAAGAAAAGGTAAAGGTAAACCACAAGGAGAAGGGAATAGAAGGTAACTGCTCAACTTTAGCAAGATCCAAATTCATTACTTCTCTTCCCAAAGATTCCTCCCCGCACGATATGTAGCTTCCTGCGATCTCCTGCTGCAATATTCACAAGAAGCAGGGCCCGACCATCAACGATTCAATTTAGACCAAGTCATAATTTATTTCTACGAAAGCTCTACAGTAGTACCACCGTGCTCGTTGAGCAGCCGGAGTTCCGCATCGGAAGAGTTGCAGAACACCATAAGCGAAGGCAGAGGCAAGCATGGTGCAACTTCCGCGTGTATAGTGTATTAGTGTAGGAGAGTCCGGCCAACGCCTTGAGAGCCAAAGCCCTAAGCAGAACCACCATTTTTAGCAGCGAGATTGCCGCAGTTCTCTCCCGACACCGACGTCTTTAGGGGCACCATTCAAAATTGGATGAATTAACTGGGATTTGGACTTTGGGAAGCTCCTTCATCTCCAGGTTCCTCTCTCTTCTAATCGCTTCATTACAACTTTACAGGCAATTTAGGATCTCTCGTTGACCTTAATCTATCTATAGTAGTGATGAACAATGTTCCTGTCGATAGTTTAGATTTAGGCTACGACTATGATCATTAGAAAAGCAGTCTGCTGCTGTTGTTTTTGGGCACTGATGTGTCATTTGCATTGAATTATAATCTCGAGGAGTAGTTTATGTGTAATTCAGTTTCATCGATTATTTGAAGGAATTTTGTGGGTTTCATGGTTTGTCCATGTTACTGCATTGGATTTATCAGCAACTTAGCAACATTGGGTTCATTATTGCACCTTATTTCCTCTGTACCTTCTCAT